TTAACATGACCAATATTAGAAATAGGTAATTTGGTACCATTAGCAACACAAACTTGATTCGGGCCAGTATAAGCAGATTTAGAAGATAAAATACCTTCATGAGGAGTCATGTGCGCGGAAGCCCCAGAGTCAGGATACCAGACCGAATAATGCGTCTCACCAGTGGGAAGAGCCGCAAGAGCAGGAGTATTTTGAGCCGTGAAACGAGAGCAAGTGATGGTGGAGTGACCTGTAGAGAAGCAAAGCTGACAGACAACAGGTGGAGCAGGAGATGATTGGGAGTTCTCAACAGAAGGAAAACATGCACTAACATTATGAGTAACAAAAATAGGAAAGTGGTTAGTAAAACCATAACCAGAACTAACATTACCAAATGTCGAACCTGTGCCACCAGAATATGGAGGACCACGTGGAGGAGCCGGCTGACCGTAGGGTACCCCATACGCCGGATATCCCCCATAATGTTGTTGATACTGCTGATGGTACACACGGCCACCACGTCCGCGACCACCCCGAGGTCGCCCTCCTCGGTTACCGCGATCGTCGTTTCCCCGAGGTGCGCCTGCACCATATTCGCGAGGAGCAGGTCCTCTGCCTTGGTGTGTTGGAACTGCTGCAAATGCTTGATGGACCGTGGACGCATCATGGGACTGTTGGTAGCATTCTGAAGCTCCTGAGCTTGAAGAATGGGCCGAAGAGATTCCAGTGTAGCATTCCCAGAAACATAGGATATAGTCGTGATAAGAGATTCATGGTCACGACCCAAACCCAATATAACATATTCCATCAAATCACCATTACTAACAGGGGAATTAATCATAGCAAGCGCATCAGGCATCACTTTAATTTCTAGCAAATTACTGATCCATCATCTGGGACTCTTTCTTTTTAATATGAGACAAAGATCGTTTAAGTTCAACAGAACGATCAAAACATGCAGACATAAAACGAGTTTCCAGACGCTCCAAATAAGATGAGAAAATTTTAAATCATACACCTCCATTAAAATATCCCTCACAAGAGTAGCAAATATCCATCACCTAACTGTTTGGTCTATTTTCAGCCAATGTGGGTAGTCTGGATCCATGGGTGACGATACCCGAATTGAGCCATCCAATATTCCAATAAGACTGTGGGAGACAAGAAAAGACTCAAATTGGGTATGACTTGGTAAGTAATCCTCAACGGCGGATAAGCGGGTTATAACAATATTAGTCACATTTGGCGTAGAAAACGCCAATTGTGATGAGAGGGAGAATAAAGAACCTGTGGATTGCGTAGAACCCGATCCGGCTGAAACTTGTGCATGATGCATAGAGTTCGTGACCGGCTGGGTAATGAACATCGGGTCGGCGAACTGCATGGACGAGGTGCCTGCTTCAGAGGGCGAGGGAAAAAGCGGCGGCGGCGGAGGGAGACTTGCGGTCGGAGTCCAAATAAACGGGGTCAGCATGCCAAATAAGCGAAATTGATAATAAAACAGAGTTATGGAATATTACAAAGTAATCCCTAAATATTATATTATTAATAAGTGTAAACTTTTGTGTGTGATATTATGTAATATCGCATGTACATATAAAATAATAGCTGAAAATTTTAAATAATACTCCCTCCGATCCGTCCTTTAAAACTTTGACAAGTTTGACTAATACGGGGTTAATAAAGTAACAATTGTGTGGTTGAGGTATATGCAGAGAAGAGAAAATTAACTGGAACCACAAATTTTTTACTTAAAAAGGAAAGTGGCAAAGTTAATAGGACAACCTAAAAAGAAAAGTTTTAAAGGACAAAAGGAGTAGGAAAAAATCAAAATGCCTTTTCAAGCCTAGATCCTGCCTAGACACGCCTGAGCTTCAAAGGCTTCACACTTCACGCCTTTTAGAACGTACATTGATTTACGTAGGTCGTAAATTATACTTCATCTGTCTCTTAAAACTTTGTCATCTTTCCTTTTTGGAACGTCCCAATAAACTTTGACACTTTCCCTTTCAATCAATTATTTTGTGGTTCATGTTGTTTCTCTCTCTTCTGCACAAATCTCAACCACACAGTTTTTACATTATTATTCTCCATACCGGTCAAACTTGGCAAAGTTTTAAGGGACAAAAGTAGTATAGTACAACCGGATGTACCATGCACACTGTACAACCGGATAATTTATCTTATACCTAATGAGTATATAGTTAAAATGAAATGAGTATTCATATTAAATTATAAAATTAGTACATAAATAATTTTTATATATGATAATACAATGATGATGTAGTTAAATGAAAAAATTGATTTGTAGCATATAAAGGGGTGGATGTAGCTCAACCGGATCCGAATAAGGTGTCATCATCGAACCTGGCAAACAACCACGACCCTCATGGCACAAGAAGGAAGCTCAAATAAAGCAGGAACACATTACAATAGTTCAAACCTTCTACCAGAAATTGAAAAAGCGTACTAGGAAGACCTTCGAGACCCAAGAAACATCAGAGACACGGGGTGAGTGCAACTCGGCATCACCAGCAGTGACAGATCCGCGTCAACGGATCGTCACCTTCCCAGCGAAGCGGCTCTTCATTCGCCATCGCTAACCCTACAACTGCGGCTATCTCTCTCTTAACCGAACGAATGTTCGAGATCTAGGGCACCCCACATCAGTCTTGGCTTACTATGTTTGGACGCAGATGGTTATTCCTTCTGTTTGTCCGGACACAGCTTTGTTTTTTTGGCCCAACTCTTAGTGGGCTTTTTTCTTTCTTCCTTTCTTTTGGGCCTACAGCGGGAATTCTCTTGCTTGGGCATGTACATTCTAATCTGATTGTTTCCTTTTAGAAAAGCTATTCTCTGTATCGGTTCTTCTCCTATTTAAAGGATTGGCCGTATGGTTCAAAGCTGAACAAGAATAATAATAAAGTTGATTTTATTCCCTATTACTTCCCTACGTTTTGTCATGGTATCAGAGATTTAAAACGCTGCCATGGCCAATGATGAAGATGACGCTGTCGGGCAGCCACCGGCGAAGATAGACCACAACTCGCCCTATTTTTTGGGGCCGCAAGATCGTCCAGGCGATTCCATTACCCCGGTGCGGCTGAATGGAGATAACTATGACAATTGGGCGAATGCGATTCGATTGGCGTTGCGTGCTAGACGGAAATATGTGTTCGTTGATGGCACCATCACCAAACCCAAACCGCCATGTACGGAGGATGATTGGATTACGATTCACTCTATGTTGGTGTCCTGGATCCTCAACACCATCTCTCCGGATGTGAAGAATACTCTGTCTATGTATGATAATGCGCAAGCTCTGTGGGATGATCTCCGAGAACGTTTTTCAGTCGTAGACGGCCCGAAATTACACCAAGTCAAAACTGATTTGGCAAGGTGTACACAGGCCAAAGGGATGTCAATTGGTATGTATTATGCCAAATTGAAAATTCTGTGGGATGAATTAAACAATTATGAACCAATAATTGAATGTCAATGTGGCCGTTGCACTTGTAACGTGGGAAAGCAACATGAAAAACGCAGGGCAGATGAACGTTTTCATCAGTTTCTTATGGGACTAAATGCTGAAAGTTTTGGTCCTATTCGGTCACAGCTTCTCACGCAGGTTCCACTTCCGACTCTGAATCGCGCATATCAAAACACCGTGCAGGAAGAACGCGTGAGGGGCATGACTGCTGGTTCGGAAACACCGGATATTCTCGGTTTTGCTGTCAAAACTGATGGCCGTGCATACGGGCGCGGAACTAAAATTGACAAGACCGGCTTAGTTTGCTCTTACTGCAAATACACCGGCCATGATGTGAATAGCTGCTTCGAGTTAAAGGGGTATCCCGATTGGTGGGGGGATAGACCCAGGGCCGACACTAAAACTGCAGGTCGCGGCAAGGGAATACCGAAGGGGACTGGACGAGACAAATCGATGGCTAAAGCTCACGCAGCAGTGGCAGACACCATTCTGCCACAGGAACCAGCCGCATGTGATAAAACAGCAGGTACACCATTGCCTGGGTTCTCCCCAGAGCAATGGCAGGCTTTGATAACGGCCTTTGGTAACCCACAATCATCGTCTGGTCGCATGGCAGGTAATTTTTCCACCGGCACTTGGATCATAGACACCGGCGCTACAAATCACATTTGTGGTGATTTAAATCTTCTATTTAAAACTCAGAACATAACTCCGTGTTCGGTTGGATTGCCCGATGGAAAAATGGTTCAAGCTACTAAAGAAGGATGTGTTAAATTTCTTAATGGATTATGTTTGCAACATGTCCTATTTGTTCCTCAAATGAAGTGTTATCTTATTTCGGTGACTCAATTAAATGATGCGCTTAATTGTTTTGTTCAATTTTCCTCTGACTTGTGTGTTATACAGGACCGAGTATCGAGGAAGCTGATTGGAACGGGTGAGAGGAGAAATGGGTTGTACTATCTTCAAGATTCACCTACTGCCCGCATTTTGACAGTTGCAAGTAGCGAAAATTCTATCTTTGATTTATGGCACAAACGGTTGGGACATCCATCTGGCAATGTGATGCGTTGGTTAGCACCAGTGAGTAATTTAAGGGGTTCTTTTAATTCCGCATGCGACATTTGTTTTAGGGCCAAGCAGCATCGGGCTTCGTTTCCCATTAGTAGTAATAAAACTCATGATATTTTTGAGTTAGTCCATTGTGATTTGTGGGGTCCCTATCATACTCCATCTTCTTGTGGTGCAAAATTTTTTTTGACTATTGTTGATGATTGTTCTCGTGCTGTATGGATATATTTGTTGATGGACAAAACTGAAGTATTTAAAATGTTTATGATTTTTCTTGCTATGGTGGAGAGACAATTTTCTAAACAGGTACGCGTTGTGCGTAGTGACAATGGAACAGAGTTTAATTGTTTGAAAAAAAATTTCCACACTAGTGGGATTATCTTTCAAACCTCCTGCGTTGGGACACCGCAACAGAATGGGCGGGTCGAACGCAAGCATCAACACATTCTCAATGTGGCAAGGGCTTTACGGTTTCAGGCTAATTTGCCTATTTCTTTTTGGGGTGAGTGTGTCCTCACTGCCGCCTATTTGATTAACCGCACACCGTTGTATGTACTTCATTTTAAAATGCCTTATGATATTCTTTTTGGTCAACCACCTTGCTATGACCAGTTGCGCACCTTTGGATGTCTTTGCTATGCCTATAATTTGAAATCTAAAACTGATAAATTCGGTAGTCGCAGCCGCAAGTGTGTTTTTGTTGGGTATGTTTTTGGCAAAAAGGGATGGCATGTTTTTGACTTGGATACACATGAATACTTTGTATCCCGTGATGTTAAATTTCTTGAAGACCAATTTCCTTTTGCGGATTCGCCACCCCCTTTGGCCTCGGATTCAGACGAACTTAGTGCCTCTCCTCCGATTTTGCCAGCAACGTATGATGATGTATTAGATGTGGCCTCCCCAGCCACGAATGTTCCTCCCGTGGACACGATCCCGGTTGATGTTCCTCCTGTTACTACCTCGGTTGATGTACCACCAGATATGTTGTCTCATGTGGAAGAAAATATCCCTTTGGGTCGCGGTTTGCGTGCTAAGCAGTCTTCGGTCCGTCTGAAGGACTATGTTACTCATACAGTTATTCGACAGAATCCCATTTCTCCCTCTCCGACTCCATCAGCTTCCGCAGGTACACCGTTTCCTATTACACATTATGTTAGTTGTGATAATTTTTCTGCGCCACATCGTATATTTCTTGCAGCTGTCTCCTCACACACAGAGCCTCAATCTTTTCGTGAGGCGGTTAAGCATCCCGAATAGCGTGAAGCCATGCAGGCAGAAATTCAAGCTCTTGAAAAAAATTCTACATGGACCCTCACTCCTCTCCCTTCCGGAAAGCGGGCTTTAGGATGTAGGTGGGTCTACAAAATTAAATATCATGCCGATGGACGTGTGGAGCGTCATAAGGCCCGATTGGTTATCTTTGGCAACCGCCAGGTTGCCGGGCTGGATTATACTGAAACTTTTGCTCCAGTTGCTAAAATGGTGACTGTGCGTGCATTCTTAGCTGTTGCTGCTTCTAAAAACTGGGAATTACATCAGTTGGATGTTCACAATGCCTTTCTTCATGGGGATCTTCATGAAGAGGTGTACATGACTTTACCTCCAGGCTATTCTACTCCTGATCCTACCTTGGTCTGTCGTCTTAAAAAATCTTTGTATGGCCTTAAGCAGGCACCCAGGTGTTGGTTTGCCAAACTTGTTAGTGCTTTACAACGTTATGGTTTCACTCAGTCTTTTGCAGATTATTCTCTTTTTACACGTGCTACTGACTCTGTTCAGTTGAACGTCTTGGTGTATGTGGACGACCTTATTATTTCTGGCAATGATTCAGTGGCCATTAATTCTTTTAAATCTTATCTCAGTGACTATTTCCATATGAAAGATCTGGGGAAACTGAAATATTTTCTTGGCATTGAAGTTGCTCGGAGTTCTTCTGGGTTATTTCTCACTCAGCGCAAATATGCACTAGATATTATTACTGAGGCTGGTCTTCTTGGCGCTAAACCTGCGGCTTTCCCTATTGAACAAAATCATAATCTTGCTCAGACCTCAGGTCCTTCTCTCACGGATCCTGAACCATATCGTCGCCTGGTGGGACGCCTCGTTTATCTGGCTGTTACCCGTCCAGACTTGACTTATGCGGTTCATATTTTATCTCAATTTCTTCACAGCCCACGTCTAGATCATTGGCATGCTGCTCTGCGGGTTGTTCGATACCTAAAAGGTTCCCCAGGTCAAGGAATTTTGCTTCGGGCTGATAGTGATCTTACTCTTACCGGATGGTGTGATTCCGATTGGGCCGCCTGCCCCCTTACTCGGAAATCCGTATCTGGTTGGCTGGTTTTTCTTGGACACTCTCCGGTTTCTTGGAAAACTAAAAAGCAAACAACCGTAGCTCGGTCTTCTGCTGAAGCTGAATACCGCTCTATGGCGGCTGCCACTTGTGAATTAAAATGGCTCAAAGCTCTTCTCCTTAGTTTGGGAATTCATCATCCCCAAGCCATTCCTCTATTTTGTGACAGTCAGTCTGCCTTGCATATTGCTCGGAATCCTGTCTTCCATGAGCGTACAAAACATATTGAGGTGGACTGTCACTTCGTTCGTAATGCTATTCAAGACAATCTAATTGCTCCCAATTATGTACCGACTACTATTCAGCTGGCAGATATCTTCACCAAAGCCCTGGGCAAGACGCAATTTCATTTTCTCCTACGCAAGTTGGGCATTCTTGATCCCCATGCTCCAACTTGAGGGGGGGTATTACGGGATATAGTATATTATTTATGTTAAGCAAATAACTTGTAATTATTTCTTTTATTATTTGTGATTGTTTCCTTTTAGAAAAGCTATTCTCTGTATCGGTTCTTCTCCTATTTAAAGGATTGGCCGTATGGTTCAAAGCAGAACAAGAATAATAATAAAGTTGATTTTATTCCCTATTACTTCCCTACGTTTTGTCATAATCCTTTTTCTCAATAAAATTTGGGTAAACGTTTCCCGACGTTTACCACACCCACTAGGGTGGATTCTCGGGTTTAAAAAAAAGGAGGTGGATGTAGCTTGGTAGGAGGGGGGCAATGCCCCCGATAATAAATAATTCTTCTTTGCTAAATATAAAGTGCCCCAACAAATTACTTCTCTTGCCCCCAACAACTTTTTATTATTACAAGATGCATGGAACGTGTATATAAAAAAATTAAAAGTTTAACTCACACTAATTAACGAATTAAGTATCTAAAATTTAAAGTGAACTCTAATTAAATAAAGATCAATTTTCTTTAGCAGGTCACTAATACTACTAGTAATTTAAAGATTATTACTTCAACGGTTTTAGGGCGACTCGAAGACTAGTGGAATATTTTACTATTGATACTCGTGATCAAATACTCTCTCCGATCCCCATCTCATTTAAATAATTACATTTTTCTTTTTGGGACGTCTCATTTACTCCTTTACATTTCCTTTTTGGGCAACTCCTTTTATATAAAATGTCTTAACTACCCTATACTACTCACCCACTTTTTACATTTGAGTGGATATCATTAATCCTTCCTAAAAGTCAAAGGTCATGCAAGCGCACTACTACATTTTCGAGTCTAATGTAACGAAAAAATTGTAACATTTGTTTAAAGTGTTACAAAAAAGTGATTTACTGTAATGGTTTTAAGTGTGTCATTACATTTGTTTAGTAATAGTTACATCTTATCCGATTCTAATGTAACACATCTATAACTTCAGAAATATTATTACATTAGTTTAGTAAGTGTTACATTTAATGAAATACGAGTATAATGTACGGAGTAACACTTTCATATATCCAAATAAATTGAAAGTAAAAATAGCCGCAAACCAATCTTTCCAAAATGTTCGTTTCCGCCATTTTTCAGTAATCCCCAAAACCAAAATCAAATCCTTATCATTATAAATAAAAAGAAAATCCTACCAAAGCAAAAGACAAAAGCGTTAGAATTGTCTGCCCCTTATACTCTTCGCCGCGACTCTTAGCCGGCTCAAGATTCAGCTTCTTCTTTCAACTTTTCATTATCAAACCAGGTAACATATGAATCACATCTTTTAGGTCTACATCTCCTTATGCTTTATTTGTGGATTTACTTCTCAAAATACGTCCACCATATTTGTAGTTCGAACTATGGGTTATCCCTAGATTTAATTTTTAGATTTCATTCCTTAATTTCGTGGTGATTTCTTAGGTTTCTGTAATGTTTGGGGCTGTCTCTTGCTGATTTTTTTCTCTTTATTCATTTGTTGTTTGGTTGGTTAAAGTTGATTTCAGAAATTCAAAGGTTTTGTATGAACATCGTTCTTTGTTTATCATCACCAGTCCAGTCTTGATTTTGCTCTCTGCGTTTTAGGAGATTACTTTATACATCTCCTATGGGTGAATCAAGTTTCAAAAAGGCTAAGAACAATCATATGGTAGTTCTGCACAAGAGGTGTTTGAAGAAATGTCTAAACTAGAAAGTTGGGTATTTTCCTTCTTTCTCTTTTAATGATTTGGATGAAGATGTTATTGCATTCCTTGCAACACTTTTGTATGAAAGAACAATAATTTTTATGATGGGATTGCATTAAAGAAAAGATAAACATTACATACTCAAAAGATTTGCAACATTACATTGAGGTTTTGTGTTTTAAGTGCTTGGCTAGTTTACATTGAGTATTTCTTTTTAATTAATATTGATAATAATAATTCTGTAATAACTCGATCTAGGTTCAATTTCAGAGGTGTCAGGTATGTCAATCTTGACATCTTGCTACTTTGGTTGATGATTTCTATAAATTATGATAAATCTTAAACTGTTTTGATTCTATGTTTCTATTAATGGTTCCTATTATTTTGATATGTAATACAGAAGATCGAAATGTTCACCATTTTAAATTATATTCCTACTTTTTAATACTTACAATTCCTTAAAAAGTCAATATGAACAGGAATGCCAACTGTGATGTTTAGTTACATAATATTTCTCGCTTTTCATGTGTCGCAAATATTCCGTAAGTTATTGTTGTTTATCAAAAGTGGCTCGAAGTATAACTACCTAAAAAGGCGTCCTAAATGATGCATTGAAGTGAAATTGTTGGAAGAATGGTGGGATTGCTACCAGCTTCTAATTAATGAAGTAAACTTGTTTTCTTTGTGAAGCATCTCCACAATTAGAATTGTTGCCCCAAAAAAAATTAAATAAACTTTTGGAGAGATGTGCATAAAATCTATGTTGCTTTGATTTTGATTGTACAATCAATGAACTAAATGTATATTTATCTCTCTGTTAAGATTTTTTAAGTAAACTGTTTTCTTCGATTATTGAATCAATGATGCACCTCTCTAATGGAAATTGCATGCTGAAGGGATAAATTGGTAACACATTAGACCTTAGCTCATTCTCATCAATGGCCAATGGTTGTAGCATCAGGTTTGGAGATGCTCTTTGTGAAGGGGTGCGTTAAGCTATGACTAAAGCCTGAATCAAAATACTCCCAAGAGGTTTTCTCTGCCCACCCACTTTGTTTTTCATTCTTTGTAGCTTCCATGAGTTTTATTTTATTTTCTCTCTTCTTCATCAACATATTTACTCTACTTAGTGTCATAATTTAAATAATTTGTTTTCTTCTATTGTTTCTTTGCCAGGTGTATATATGTGGGCTCTTGTATATATTAACTAAAAAAGTATGTTTACTTTGTTCAAAAAATCTGAGTATGTTTTACTGTAAATTTGACCTCAAATTAAAACATATTTGTATACTCTGTTTTTAGGCATTCAAATAAACTTCTTGATTCTACAACTGGGAAAAATATAAAAATTGATTTTACAGAGTATTAATCTGTTTATTTGTCTTCTTTGGTTATTTTTATTTGGGGTTTCCCAGTTTTTCGTGTCCATGGCACTGTGTGAATTTGTTTTGATACTAAATATGTTTTTCCTTTGCTGTATTTGATGCTTTTAATGGGGGTTTCAAGAGTTTTGTGTGTCCTAATAAAACCAATCATCAAGACGTGAGGTAGATGAGTGAAATGGCAATCTTCTGTTGAACACACTCGATATTCAAGGTAATATAACTTCTCTGAAATCATTTGATTGTTCTGGAAATCGTTTTGAGCTCGCTTGAGTTGCTGA